GGGAGGCAATCGAGCTTAATCCAGATTCGTTCCGCACGGGCGAAAATGTTAGTAAATTCAACAAGGCTCGTATAGACGTATGACATAAAGTGAGCACAAGAAATCAAAGAACAACCTAATCATGATAAAACAAGTTAAATGTGAAACAAAGAGGTCGTTAATGCAATATCTGGGCAGTCACGACAATATACATATTTTAACATGTAATAAATAATGAGCAATCTATAATAATAATTGTAACAATTTTATCTTAGAAAAATATACGCCCCTGAGCGTAAGACAATGAAGGCTAAACATATACAGAATTATTATCATGAAACATCTAGGTTTTTCGAACAACGCTATCATGACAAAAACAAGTTAGATGTGAAACAAAGGAGTCGTTATTGTAATGTCTGGCAATTACGACAAGATATATATATTTTAACATGAAATAAATAATGAGCAATCTTTAAGAATAATTATAACAATTTTACCTTAGAAAAATATATGCCCTTGAGCATAAAGCAATGGAAGCTAAACATACAAAGAATTATTATCATGAAACATCTATAACCATCACAATCATAAGATTACATAGAACAATTAACAACAAAGTACTTAAAGAATATTACCTGCTAACTAATAACACTTTAAACACTTAATTTTACACTACTTTGTCACACTGCCCGCCGATCGTCTTGCTACCTATCTGCACACTGTTCTCACTTCCACTGCCTATCTTCAACTCTTTAGGCTTCCTTCCAGAATTTCCTACCTAAGTGCCTGTGTTTTGTGCTTCCTTCTATCGACCGTTAATATTACTTTTTCATTGTTATACAACACCTATGTAACAGGTGACGTCGAAGTTGATAAGATAAGTACGGTTTTGCACAGTTTATTATTTTTTCATTATTCTACTAGTGAAATACAGTTACTTTATTCTACTAGTGGATAAAGTATCACTTTAGACGGATCATATGTGTGGATAAAAGTCCGATTATAAGGTAACTGTATATAAAAATATAAACTTAACAGCAATAGATTTGTATTTGAATGTTTCCCTCGAAAGTTATCCTGAATTATGGAAAGATGTCTTTAATACCCCTACATATTTAAAAAAAATAGAAAATATAATGGAGTTGCTCAAATAATGTCTCTGTAATACAAAATGGCGTACAGAAAAATATGTAAAACCAAATACAAATTTATAGAAGGAATTGGCGAAGTTGCTTATACAGTTCGTATTAACTTTCCTTGTAGAACAGTACTCGAGACAATACATTACATTTTTTATGCACACACAAGTGCATATTATTCACTGGAAAATTGTTACTTACATGCAGTCCTTTTTCTATATTATTCAGAAACACCTACACTACAGCAGAACATTTAATGATGTTCGTAGACCTTTATACCTAATAGTGTTAAAAGTTGGATGCTGCACTGAGTTTTATCGTTAACATTCTCATTAAATCTCTACATCCTTTATGCATAAAATATGTTTAAATGCATATACCTACGTAAACACGAAAAGTGTACTATACATATATTATAGTTAAAAAAAATGTTTTTCCATATATTTATTTCCTTAAACAGTATTAAACAATAATTAAGTAATTTTATATGTATATTCACTACCAATTCAGGAGATTACTTTATTTATACAAGGATGTAGCTAAAAACGCGCATTTTAATTATCAATTCTACAGGTACGAATTAAGGTTCTTTTAATTATGTGCAAAAATACATTTCGCTCAAATTATATGGTGGTTTATTTGGTATTGCAAGAAAGGAAACAGTTCAGTGCAGTAATGGAAACAATCTTTTATAATATACATGAAATAACTGGAAAGAAAAATTCATTTTAGAAAATTAGAAAAAGCACTTTTTAAATTTTAATATAGGTACTACTTATATCTTGAAAACAAAGAGTTTAGTAACATATATTTATGAGATAATAATTTAACTGTTTTCAACTGCCTTGTTCAATTATAATTTGCAATAATTTTTTGTCGGCCCCAAAATTTTTTAATATCAACTCTCTCAAGACCAGTAAAATTTATGAATATTTTATTAGAATACTACTTGTCACAAATTGATCGTTAATTGTTATGATTTTCACAAATTTAATAAATGTTTAATTGACTGTTACCTATATAAATTTAGTTTGCGAAAACATATTTACGTCTACAAACACCTATTTAGGCAATAATTGATTAATGCCTAATTTATGAAATTATGAAATTTCACAGAAGATACAGGACACTAATAATGACATTTAAGAAGAAATAGGATGAAGTGTCGAGGACTGAGAACATTACAAGATTAAGTTTTTTTTTAATTTGTGACAGAATCCGCTATTAAAGTCTAGCCAAGTATTTTATTTATGTCCTGTATGTTAGAAGAAAAATTTCAATAATTACTGTCATAACAAGCTTAGGTATGTCCATGGAAAACGTACATCTGTTTGAGATGTGACGACTGATAAAAATAGAACATATGGCCACTTGAAATTAACTGTAGTTATTTGTTTAATTTGGATTCCAGAGATAATGCAATAGAGTAAATATATGAGATAAGCTATTTTTGATTCTTACGAAAAAATAATTCTACTCAAATTGATGTTTATAGAAAGTTACACAATATGTATTTCATTGCTTTCTGTTAATTTAAGTTTTGGTGAATGCGCCAAGTTGAATTGTCAATCAACACATCAAGGAAGTTAATAAAAGAGTAAATTAATTACATTAAAGAAAAAATATCTATCTTAAATATTTCTTTGCATGCTTTATATAATTCTGATTTTTTTTATTTTTAAAATTATCTTCTATAATTATAATTAATTTATGGGCTTTGTATAGTTACACTCTAAAAAAATCAGTAAAACAGCAATAAAAATTCGGAGTGAATCCATTGAGTGAAATTATTGAGTACAATTTCACTTAGTATTGAGCATTTTGATCATTTTACTCATTTGTGATAATTTATGGACTAAAACTGAGAACTTTCACTCAAATATAAGTCTCATTATTCTTCACGTAAACTCGTATTTGGTGCACTTGTACCTAAATCAGAGTAAATGTCCTCACTACTGAGTGATCCCACCCTTTTTTATATCCAGGTGCATTGTCTTTGTCAGTTCCCATCGTTCCATTAGGTTATCTCGTGACAGTGGCGTGTGGTGGATGGCAGTATGGCGTATGGTGTGCTTTGGAGTTGGAAAAGTATCAGTTTATCTGGTGATTCTACTGAAAATTGTATTTAAATCCAGTGATCTAATTACAATAAATAAAGACAATATAATAAGTCTCGATCAATATTTGGTTAAATAAACGGACAGTTAAATTGTTATGTATAATTACGTATTTGTAACGTAGGTACAATATAGGCTATGGCAATTTATTTCTCCGATCAGTGAACCAATCGAGACCTAAATTATTGTCTCTAAAACAAATCTGTGTTGAAACCACCATGACTATTTAGTAGATTATGACAATGATAGTTAAATTAAAATTTCAAGAAAATATAAAGTGGTGCAAAACCACTCCAAACGTTAATAATATGGAAGCAATTATACAAATTTAATAAATTACAAAAAAATTATAACAAACAACCGATTTTCATCTCTTAACTTCAAGGTATCAAAAAAAATTGTAGATTTGAGACATTATTTTTACAATATCACTCCTAATTTGAAAGTTCATAATTTGCAGACCACAGCATCTAATTAATTTCAACACTGTATATCCTAATTAATCATTTATGGGTGATTGAATTTTTTCACTAAATATTTAGCTAATTAAAAATCAAGTCCGAGTAAAAATGACTATAATAGTTAAATTTAAATCGTATTAGAGAAAAAGTCAACTCTATATTGGTTTTATATACTCAGAATAAAATGAAAAGTCGCTCTATCGATAGTTAGCAGTAAATCGGATTTGAGTAAAACTCACTCATTTCTGATGCAATAGTTTCACTCACAATCAGTTGTACTCACACTAATAGAGCGAAAATTTCACTCAATTGGGTGTGGACAGAAATTGATAGAATACTGAGTAAAACTGAGTGAAATTTAGAGTGAAATTTTTTTACAGTGTATATCTGACAAATTTGTATAGCGTTTTGAGTAAACCTCTATGTTAGTGTGTATTTGAGTTAATGTTAAGACTGATTTTTTTGCGCAAGGAAGAACTTATTTTCTTAATTACCCCTTTTATTATGCATTGAACATATGTAACATAATTTTATAAGATTTAAATTATGTTTTAGAAATATATCAGAACTTTAGGAGGTTATTCTTTCGTAATGCTAATGAAAAATGTCTTAGTGAGCCTCAAATCTATAACCAGTGGCTTTAGAAAAATAGGAACTGTATTTAAGAACCCTAGAATTTACACGCCACTGTGCATTTTGGGAATTGAAAAGAAAATTTATTGAATAAGCGTATCACATAGGAGAAAAAAAATGAAAATGTGTCTCAAACATTTCGTTTTAGATTTTTTGCTTGAAATATAGTTTAAAAGTGTCACCATCAAAAGTCCAAAATAAAAAAATATTGGCGAAGAATTTTAAATATTTTTGGAAGTTATTCCTCAGACAATTTAAAAAACGCAGAGATTTTTTAGGACTTTTTATATTACACTATATTTAAAATTGTATTTCGATTGTAACATTATGATATATTTATTATTAATTTTTAAATATAATAAATGGAAAACAGACCCGTTTTACAAAGAGGAAGACTTTTGTCTTAGAAATGACACTGACGGTTGTATGTATTTCTCGAAGTTCTAAAATATACAGGAAAGTGGAAATTTTAGATTTTTTAATGACTATAGGCTATACACCCTTCAGTGATTTTTTTGTGTTTTTATTTTATTTGTACCTAATAAAAATTTTACAAGTTTTAAACATATAGTTTTTTGATAAAAAATAATCCAAGGAACAACCTCCTGAAGTTATTATAATGGACATATGAAAATACCCTGTGTAATATTATTATTATTTTTTTTTTTCAGGTCAAATTGAGTGCCTGAACTGTATGCTAAGTCGATGTAGAGGGATAGAAATAGACGCTAGAAATAATTTAGGTTTTACTCCACTTATGAAAGCTGCTCTTCAAGGGAGAAATAAATGTGCCAAATTATTACTATTTGCAGGTAAGCGAAAGGAAAGTAGTGTTATAGTTATATTTCTTTAAGTAACGTAAAAATTATATTAAAAGATTTTTCTCAACAATAAAAATAGAAAATAATAGAGCTTCGACTTGTAACAAAAATACACGTCACAAGTCACGGAAAGAAAAACTAAAAAAGAAAGGACATTTTAAACGGGAATTATCAATATCTTTATTTGCTTATAAGTAAAGCAAAAACCATAATTCTGAAGTAAATAAGATTAAATTTCATATACAGGGTGGGCCTTTAGTGTGAGAAAGTAAAATAACTCCCTTGTTACTCATAATACAGAGAAAAAATTATATAAAAGTTGTACAGAATTAGGAAACCTATACTACAAAATTAATTTGAAAGATACAGGGCGATGAGTAAAAACGGGACACGCCAAATATTATATATTTTAAAAGGAACACCCTGTATATTTTTAAATACATGGATTTCCGAGAAAATTCTATATGTGGCAATATATACACAGTTTATCATTTTACTGCGGGGTTGCCAAGTTATGTAGAAAATTCTTCGAACTTTGGAAAAAACATGATCCCGAAGAAGTTGTATTAACTTTCAGCTACTTGGAACAAAATAATTAGACAGTTATAAGCAAAATATTAACTAATATCGATATTTTATATAGGACATTTTTTATAATACGATCATTTTTAGAAAGAAACTTTAACTTTTATTAAGCGTGTTTTATATCTAAAATTGTTAGTTTTTAAGATATAGCAACATATTTGAAAAAACCTACTTTATATTATTTTATAGAATACCACAAGTAAATATTAAATAATAAAATTAACTCAAAACGGAATGATACATTATGAATTGACAAGTTGACACAATTTGACAGTTATTTTCATAGCCATTTCGTGCGACCGAAAATAATAAAAATTAGGTTTTTCCATAAATGTTGTTATATCTTAAAAACTAACAACTTTAGGTGTATAACATACTTAATAAAAGTTGAAGTGAACTGATATGTGAATAAAATAGAACAATAAAATACAGGGTGTTCCATTTGAAAAATGTTAGAAAATCAAGTTTGAACTTTCTAAAAATCATCGAATTATAAAAAATGCCCTGTATAAAATATCGATATTAGCTAATACAGACGTCTTTGCTTAACATTTGTCTACAATTGTCAAATATTTTTGCTCCAAGTGTTAGCAATTGTAAGTTAATACAACTTCTTCGATGTCATGTTTCTTCCAAAATTCGAAGAATTTTCTACATAATTTGGCAACACCTCATTAAAATGTTAAACTGTTTATATTGTCATATAAAGAATTTTCTCAGAAATCTTTATGTTTAAAAATATACAGGGAGTTCCATTTAAAAAATGTAATATTTGGCGTCTTCCGTTTTTGCTAATCACCCTGTATGTTTCACATTATTTTTGTCCTTTAGGTTCTTTGATTGTGTGCAACTTTTATATAAACTTTTTTTCTGCATTACGAATAACAAGGGAGTTATTTTACTTACTCGCACTAATGGCCCACCCTGTATGTACATAAACCGAGACATAAACACAAATAAATCACTTGAAACCATATTTTCCTAGATATACGAGATTGGCAAAACGTAATGGTTAGGACCCTTTATATACTAGATTTTAACAAAAGCTCCATTTTTCCGATATTTTCCAATTTCTTCCCATATTTCTGAAAAAAAAACGATTCTTTTCGATGCCCAATCTTGGACTTCTAGTCAAGACATAATTGTTTGACATTTGATGGCACTTCAGTGATGAAAAAACATTTTTCCTTTATTAAATACAATACTTGATTCTAATTAGTATAACAAGAATGTCTTCCACGACTTCAATAGAAGTCAAAACTAAACGGAAATTGAAATTAATATCAAGTAGGTATACGCGTCGGTATATTACAAAATAATTTTGATAAAAAAGACTTGTAGTTATGACTTAAAAAAACATGTTCTTGTTTATTTGAGTGTATTTGTAGCAATAATAATTTATTTAATATTTTCCATTCAAAAAGTTTAATATTAAATAGTATTGAATTATGTTTGATTTACTTTTGTTTATTTAAATAAAACTCTATAGCTACCATATACTTTCAAACTTACAATAATTTAAATGTAAAATTATAAAAAGTTACACCTATATTATTCTACATAAATAGGTATAGGCTCGGATATAGGTTAGTTTGATGTTAGATAATAATTTTCTCAGTGTAGATTTATCACAATAGAATTCAAGACACCCTGCATATTTGAATTATATTCCAAGGTTTTAATACAGTGTAATAAAAAACAATTTAGCAAAAACAGTTGGCGCAATTCATTCATCAGGGAACACGATTAAAAATGTTTTTTAACTTTATGGTTTGCATTTCATGCGTTGATAACTCGGATGATTCAATCTATCTCTGCAGGCAGACTAAGTTCACTCACACTAATCTAATTGTAAATTGAGTTTTGTCTTGCTTTTAGAAGTTTTAATTGTTTTTCGAGGGGTCTAAGTAATTCCGATGATAATACAATTATTCAACTAGAAAAGTATTTAATACTATGAAACACGGTAGAGCAGTAGACAATCGACTGTTTTGCTTTCATATATCGTAATATATGTAGATATCATATAAGTAGGTACAACACTAGAAAAAATTATATAGTTTTTGCACAGCTTATTATTAAGCTGTGGTTTTTGTATCGGTAATATCGCGTTCTGGCTACGAATGAATACGGTTGTACATATACAGCGTTTTAAGAAATAAAACGTGCACGGGGAAAAGCTATAAGTATCAATATTAATCTACTTCCCTCAGTAATACTTTATTAAAAGATTTTTATTCTTATATAATAAGACCAAATACTTCTAGGGGTGTGCTACTCGGCAGTAAAACGTACACCTACTTAAATTACTTAAAATTACCTTGCTACTTACCAGTAATTTTAATAATTTTTTGATATAATTTCGTAATTTCAGTAATTTATAGATTTGTTCTGGTACTTTTTGTAATTTTTAAATATAATTTCGTAATTTTCGTAATTTGTAGACTTTTTCACATAGTTATAAGAATTTATACACTTCTTCAAATCATTTTTGTAATTCTATTATAATTTTTAATAATGTATGTAATTTCATATCCTAATTATTTGCGAAAAAGGACAACACTTATTTTACAAGTAACTGCACCTATTTGCATACTTCTTTAAAATGGTGAAAATATTAGATAATTTTATTAGTTGGGAGTAATTATAAGAAAATTTATTTGAATTAGCTAAAACAACCTTACAATAAAGTAAAAAAACTACAAAAGCTAATAATAATTAATAAATATTTAGGTCAAACATTGTGTGTAATTCGACGTTGGCTGGTGTATTAATCCACAGAGTAGTGAGTTTCCCACAATATTATATACCTATATGTACAGTGTGTTCCCGCATGGGGTACCGTACACTTGTAAACTTTTTTAATGTTGATATTTTGAGAAAAAGTTATTCTTGATAAAAAGTTTTGCTTATCTTGGGAAGCCATAGATAGTAATTAAATTTGTAATAAAACATACCAGGCATCCAAAATATGCCAAATGTGAAATTTCCCCTACGCAAAGTGCCTTTAATTTTTGTTTTCATTAAAAACTGTATTTAACAAAGTTGTTCGGGAACTCAAGAATTGCTTAAATGTGGGATTTAGTAAAAAAAGAAGGATAATCACATTTTGCATCTAAAAAGACGCCGCAAGTTTCAACTATCCTAGATACCATATAATTACTATGGATATTTCCTCATGGGTTTTTTTTTGGGTATTTTTTGATTTTCAAATAAAAATAATAATAGTAATAACATTTTATTATTCAAAATTATTTATGTTACTGTTACTACAAAATTATCTACTTAACTGTGATATTAAACCCTGATTTAGTAACAGTTACATAACAACTACAATAACGGTAATAATAGTACAAAAGGAAAATTAAATAAAAATATTAATTTTCTCATGGCACAATTTGATAACATTTATTTTGCAGTAGGAATTTTTGAGCAAGTAATGAATTATTGAAATGGATTTTACTAGAAAACGGCTCATGCTATTAAAATCTAAGAGTACCTTTTTTATGCAAAATATGATAAAGTTTCATATTTTCGGTTCAGGAAGTAGAAAAAATTGCGTACCAAAAAAAAATTGTAAAATTTGCCCCATGATCCCGCATTTTCTTTACCCCCTGTAGCAAATTTTAATTTGTATATTATACCGATTATTAAGCATATAAATAGTAATATAAACCCAAAATTTCGTCATTTAATATTAAACTGTTTTGAAGTTATGAAATAAAAACTGTTTGATGAGTTACCTCTTCAAGGAGCTGTATCTCCCTTAGTTTTCATCATATTTCGACATGTTTTACATACTCCCCAATTTTGAGTACTTATTTCGTTAACACCTTGTATTTAGTATGAGGTGAAGTTATATTTCTTTAAATAACTGATTGTTTTTTTTTTATTCTGACCATTACATTAATTGAACCAGTAACTTTTATACTAACATAAAGTTGTACTATTTTTGTTTAACCGTTTAAGTAATTTTAAGCAAATTTTTCAAATAATATTGAATTAATTAAAAACTGAAGTCCCATAAATTTATTTCGAAAATTCGGTAGTTTTTGAGATATCGACCGATGGTCAAAGGTTAAAAAAAACACGAATAAAATCAAACACTTTGGACTAATATAATAAAAATTTTTATCAAATTTTAAAGCAAAATATTCTGGTATCTGAGTATTTAAACATTTAATCGATTAGTTCGAAAATTCACCTAAGTAAGGGGAATATAGAGTAAAAGCAGACCTAGGTATATTTCGTGTAACATTTTCGACTGCCCTTTTCTCTAAATCAGCCCTTGAGACGTTTCTCGTGTTAAAGGAGTTGGTGTGTGAAAGAGCAGTATGTTACACTTCGCCAAATAAGTTGCGAAGTTTAGTCACCTTTAAATACGACCAATAAATATAGTATATATA